ATTATTTTTGTGAGATCAAAATTCCAGTAAGTGTCCGTCAAATAAAAATAAATTTTTAATTTTTCATAAAAAATTGTAGATATCGCGCGCGTTTACGCTCGTTTCTTTTAGCTAGTTTATTAAATAATACAGATATTTAAACTTTTTCAGTCCACATTTTTTTTATTTTCTTTATAAGTGTAACGAAATTTATCTTTTATAAATTATCTTTCTCATAAAAACGTAGATATATATTTCAATATCACATATTTCAATAATTTATATTAAATATTTAAACACAAAACGAAATATAAAAGGAATCCTTTTAAACTTATACTTTATAAGACTGCACTAGCTGCATTAAAAAAATTTGGTTTTATCTAGAAGAGACGAAGTCCTTTTCTCAACTTTTTTTTCCAATGAAATAGTTTTTTTCTTATGAAGTTCTTCTGATCTTATTCTCATTGCTTTGGCACCATCCAGCATACCTTGCGCAACCTTGGCTTCTTGAAGGTTATTGTTTTTTAAAGCTTCTTTCAACTTTCGATTAGCTTCGTCAATTAGTTGATCAGCAGCCAGGCGTTCATCTTCTTCAGCTTTTTTCGTTACTTGCAAATCTTTCTTCAAGTCTCCTAATTTTTTCTTGTCTTCAATTTGTTTATTTTTTGCAGCAATTATTTGTTTCTCGAATTCATTTTCCTGTTGATTTCTTTTTATCGAATTTTCCTTTTCAACACGTTTTTTCTGTAAATATTCTTCGTGCTTTTTATGGGCATTTCCTGCAGAAATAAGCAAAGATTTCGTAATCAATACCGATTCCGGACGACCATTATTTTGAAGACCATCCCAGATGTTTAATCGGGCATTGAATGTTCTTTCCAAAATTGCAGCCCTATCAGCTGGAAGTTGATTTCTGGAAATTGAAAAACGTCGTTCAACATCTGAACTACCATGAGCCATCGGTAGTACTGCCTTTACAACCTTTGTAATTAGGGGATATTTTCGCTCTTTTAAAAAATTTTCATTTTCAAAAATCTGCTGCCAAAAATGATCAATCCTGATAGTGAAATCATATGCTGAAAAGTCTTCGAGCTGTAAAAGTCGCCCTTCGTCACTGAGTGAGTCTACATCAATGTCCAAATTTAACTTCAGTAATTTGTAAACCACAATGCTATTCAAACTTTTTTCTTTTTTTATTTCTTTAGGCTGCAAGCATCTCAAGTGCATAGTTTCAGCTCCTTTAGATAAGATTGATTTTTCAAGCAAACGACTCGCTGCTTTTTGGTAGTGTTCAAGAGCTTGCTTTCTGAATTTCAACATATCTAATTTGATGCATTTCGACAAATACCGTTCAGCATCTTTTCCAATTACAATTTTTCGAATGTCCAACAAATTTTTTGTATTTTTGATAAACGAGTCTTTCATAAATTCATCTTTTTCAGTGAGCGATTCTGGTTTGCAAAACTTGCTTAAAAGAAGAGCAAACTCAGATGACATTTCATCATACAAAGTATGGATCATTGGCTGCTCAGTTTGGAAAATTCTTGAAAATCTTTCAAATAACTTTGCACTTTGGATGGTAAATGCAACTTGAGCAGGAAATGTCGAATCTTTCAATGCACTAGCTATAGATTTATACATTTTTGATTCGAGTGTTTTCTTCGAATTACCCTGTCTCGGCAAAAATTGCAAAAAGTAATGAGTAAGTGCTGGCCATTGTTCCAATAATCTTTCCGCAGATTTAGCAAGCGAAAGCCACCTTGATGATACATACTTCAAAAAAAAATGTTTTGGAACATTTTTCTCAATCTGTACATTACTGTAAGCTTCACAACGACTAGGATAATCATCAAAATAAGAATGAACTGAGATTACTAAATCTGAGACTTCTTGTCCGAGTGAAGGAAGAGCAACTTCAAAACACGAGTGGAGAATGTGCAAGTTGCAATACCCTATGTTTAAAATTCCTTGTCCACGTTCAACTTTAATTTTGTCACTGATTTTTTTAAATACATTTTTGTTAACAACAAAGATAGAGCAACACTGTCAATGACTGCGTAAACTTAGAAGCGCCATGTATGCAAGTCAACTTTGATGACGGTAGTCAAGCGAATTATAAGCCGCGGGAAATTTCAAACCTATAATTTCAGTTCAGCAACTGGTGAGTTAAATAAATTTTATTAGTTTTTAGAATTGTCAGATAACAATTTACCAAAAAAGTGAGAAAAGTGAGTTTTTTTAAAAAGTGAGTAATAGTGAGCGGCCTGGAAAAAAGTGAACAAAAGTGAGAAAAGTGAGTCACTGGCAGCCCTGGGTTTTGCCCCACTCTCCCCTAATAATAGTTAATAATATATTGAACAGAAGTTGTAATAGTTAATAAAATATTTACTAACTAATTTAATTTATTAAGAACTACAAAATCGATTTTCCCGTCTATTATGTATTATGTATTATTTTTTTAAAAAAATATTAATTTTTAAACAATTTGTTTATTACTTTTCAAAATGTTCTTCCTCATTTAGAAGCGCGAAAAAAATCATGATTATTGTTTAAGTCATAATAAATTAATGGTTAAATTTTTGAGATGGTATTATTTTTTGTTTCGAGATATTAATTAATGAATTAACAAAGTTAATAAAAAATAAATATTTTACGAACAAATAAAATTAGAGTTTTTAGTATTTAATTTTAATTAATTTTTATTATTAATTATTAATTTAACACCCGTTTATTAGAAATAGTTCATATAGGGCTCGTTGGATGCGGATTTTGATAAGCATTATAAACAAATTTTATATTTTCAACAAATTGTTTAAAAATTAATATTTTTTTCAAAAAATAATTTTTTTCTAAAAGTTTAACCCTTTCAGTCACAGTGGTCAATATATTAACCACCTTTTGGTAAGGCTGAAAAAAATATAAAAATCCATCATATTTGCTTGACAATCACTAACTAGGGGTTTTAAGGGTCGCAAATTACGAATATAATATCAGAATTGAAAAATTTTGAAAATTGAAAATGGTGGATCTAATATGGCGCATGAAAAAATTAAAAATTAATCGGACTCGCTAAAAAATTATTTCTTGGGAGTTTTTGAGCTCGTTGATTACGAATATTTACAAAATCGATGTTATATTTTCAAAATTTTTGCAAAATTTACGAATTTTGCGAAATTTAAAATGGCGGATCCAATATGGCGGACGACTTTTTAAAAAATCCATCTAATCAGCATGAAACTTATTACTTGGGGGTTTTCGGGGTCGCTGATTACGAATCTGAAGTCGGTTTTTAAAAATTCAAAATGGCGGATCTAATATGGCGGACGACGAAATTAAAAATTCATCCAATTGGCATGAAACTTGTTACTCGGGGGTTTTCGGGGTCGCTGATTACAAATCTAAAGTCAGTTTTTAAAAATTCAAAATGGCGGATCCAATATGGCGAGTAACAAGTTTCATGCCGATTGGATGAATTTTTAATTTCGTCGTCCGCCATATTCGATCCGCCATTTTGAATTTTCAAAAACTGACATCAGATTCGTAATCAGCGACCCCGAAAACCCCCGAGTAACAAATTTCATGCCGATGGGATGAATTTTTTATTTCGTCGTCCGCCATATTTGATCCGCCATTTTGAATTTTTAAAAACTGATTTCAGATTCGTAATCAGCGACCCCGAAAACCCTTAAGTAACAAGTTTCATGCCGATGGGATGAATTTTTAATTTTGTCGTCCGCCATATTGGATCCGCCATTTTGAATTTTTGAAAACTGACTTTAGATTCGTAATCAGCGACCCCGAAAACCCCCGAGTAACAAATTTCAGGAAAATTAGAATGATTTTAAAAAAATTATCCGCCATGTTGGATCCGCCATTTTGAATTTTTAATATTTTGCAAATCTGACTTCATATTCGTAATCAGCGACCCCAAAAACCATAAATACAATAGCATTTTGAATGTTTTAGTTATTATCTGAATTGCGTGACTGAAAGGGTTAAGTTCTTCTGCGTAAAAAACATTCACAACATTTTTCTCTATTTTTAATAGGAAAAAAGTTATAAGTAAATTAAAAAAATATTGCTCAAATTAGTTATTGTAAATATCTCGAAAAATATTAAAAATTTCAAATTCAAAATTTGTACACTTATTAAGCACCACTATCACTACAGTTGAATGAATTTAAAAAAAATCTGAGACATGACCCCGTATACTCATATGAAATGCCTCACTCATATATATATATATATATATATATATTACATAAATTTATTTATATTTATATATTTTATAATGTTCTTCAAAATATTTGAATTTAAAAAACAAACTACAGTTTTTATTCTTAACTATTTCTCTCTCTAAATTAAAATTATTTATTAGGAATTCCAACAAGAAGAGTTTTTGGAAAAATTAATGAAGTGGGTTGTTTCGAAATACTTACCATTTGTCAGAGTTTAATCTATAGTTTAGAAACTAGGTATGAACAAACAAAATAAAAATAATAAAAGAAAGAAAAAGTGAAATTAAACTAAGGCAAACACTGTTTTTAAACGTTCGCGTCCTTACACTTCCGCACTGTTCCGTTTCTTCCGGACAACCCGGGGGGTTGTCTGAGAGGGGGGACAGCCTCGTGTACAAGAAAGAAACACAAACGATACAAAAGTAGAAAAATTAATTAATCGAACAATTAGAAGAGAGGGAAAGTCGACCTACTCGGCCCTTCCAGAGCCGACCAATCCCAGGCAACCAGGCCTCTCAAGTCGCCAGGTACCTGAAATCTACTTCGAAACCCAAACATTCCCGCCCGCCTTGTCCGCAGGACAAATGACACTTTTTCCTGTCTAAAAAGGTGGCGGTATTGGGCTAAGTCGCACGATAGGGCGACGATATGTTCCGTGAATTGTTTTCACTGTAGCCACTCGGACCTTCCCGTCAGCTCCCGGATGAACCGTAACCACTCTTCCCAAAGGCCACTTCGCGGGAGGACCTCGATTGTCCTGGATGAGCACTAACTGATCTACACTTAGATTGTCTGAAGATTGTTGCCATTTGCCTCTAACTTGCAGTGACTGTAAGTACTCCTGGGACCATTTTCTCCAAAAGTTGTTTCTTCTTTTTGAATAAGTTCGGAGCGGCTTAATCGGTTGTCAGGTACGTTCGGTGGTTCTTCGTCAGGGATCATTGCCAATGTACTTCCAATCAGAAAGTGTGCAGGGGTTAGAGCGTTAAGATCCTCGGGATCAGTTGACATGGCACATAAAGGCCTTGAGTTCAGGCAGGCTTCTATTTCGGTGAGAAGGGTGCTAAACTCTTCAAACGTAAATGTCCGGGAGATCATCAGTCGAGCCAGATGGTGCTTTGCAGATTTCACTCCGGCCTCCCAGAGTCCACCGAAGTGAGGTGAGTTTGGGGGGATGAAGCTCCATGTCGCTCCGTCGTTCGCGAAGGCTGCTGCGGCTTCCATGTAGAATGTGGATCCCCTTTTAAACATGGATCTTAGTTCTCTGTCAGCCCCTTGAAATGTTGTTCCGTTGTCGCTGTACAGTCGTCGACAAAGACCTCTTCTTCCTGTAAACCTGCGATAAGCTGCTAGAAAGGTTGAAGTCGTCATATCACTCACCGCTTCCAAGTGGATCGCCTTCGTAGCGAAGCAAACGAAGACTACAATGTATCCTTTGTAGGATTTGAATCCACGGCCTTTGGTGGCCCGCAGTTGAAAGGGTCCGGCATAGTCAAGGTCGCAGTTTGTAAATGGACGAGCCGGTTCGATCCTTGCAGGTGGCAGATCACCTATGAGCTGCGTCGGGAAGCGAGGTTTAATTCGGTGGCAGGGCACGCACGTGCGTACCAGTTTTCTCACTAGTGAAGCTGCACCAACAATCCACACTAAGTTTCGAAGGATGCTGAGGGTTAGCTTTGGCCCTCCATGACACGAGACCTTGTGCGCTAAGTTCACGTACAAGGGGGTCAGTGGTGAATCTTTTGGGAGAATCAGTGGATGCTTCGAGGAGAAGACTAGAGAAGAGTGTTTCAAACGTCCACCAACTCGGAGGATTCCTGCTTTGTCCAAAAAGGGGTTGAGATTGCGGAGTTTACTATGTTTGGGAATGTTTCTCCCGTTTTTCAGAGAATCTATCTCCTCAGAGAATGTCTTCCTCTGAGCGATCGCTAAGACCGTCGATCTGGCAGATTCTATCTCGGTCGAGGAAAGGGCCGTATCCTTGAAAGAGTTTCCAGAGCCTTTTGGTCTAAAGTTCTGGAACACTCTCAGGCAGAATGCTACAACTCTAATAAGTCGTTGCAGAGAGGAGAATCTCGAAAGAATCTCATTGTTGACTTCAGCTTCGACAGTAAGGAACGCTTGCACTTCCTCGCTATTGGTATCGTGACCTTGGGATTGAGAAGGCCAATTAACCGGTGATAGGGACAGCCATTGTGGACCATGCCACCAAAGATTATTTTCTTGCAGGGTCTCTGGTTGAAGACCTCGTGTCGCTAGGTCAGCCGGATTTTCTTGGCTAGGCACGTGTCTCCATTTCACCGAAGGCAGTTCAGTCTGAATGTAGGAGACGCGGTTCGCAATGAAGGTTTTCCATTTGGATGGATGCTGATTGATCCAGGCTAGAGTGACTTGACTGTCACTCCAAGCCGTCACAGGTACAGTATTTAGAAAGGTCAGCCGTCTAACGTATTTTAAGAGCTTTACTAGGAGAGCAGCTCCACAGAGTTCTAGCTTCGGTATTGTTGCAGTCTTAATAGGAGCGACTTTGGACTTCGCTGCAAGAAGTGTAACTTGAGCGTCCTCTTTGTATTTAAGAACTCGCACGTAGACCGCTGCGGCGTAGGCTCGAGTGGAAGCATCTGAGAAGCCATGGAGTTCGATCAGCGAATTCGAAAAGCTTCCCAGCCAGCGTGGTATCTGGATACCTGATAATCCAGCTAGGGATTGATAGTATTGCGTCCAGCGCTCTTGCACTTCAGTAGGGAGTTCAACATCCCAGTCAATTCTGAGTATCGAGATATCTTGGAGCATGATCTTGGCGACCACTGTGATAGGTGCGAGCCAGCCCAAAGGGTCGTACAGCTTGGCAATGGTAGAGGAAATAATTCTTTTTGTTGCATCCTCCGAGATGTGTGTTTTTTGGGGATTGTTGAAAGCAAAGTAGTCGACACTTGAATCCCAAAGTATCCCCAGAGTCTTAAAAACTGTGTTTTTGTCGATGATCTCCGAGGATGGTGGTGCGCAAGATGAAGGATGTAGGTCGGGGTGGTTTACTGACCATTTATCTAACTTAAGGTTCCCCTTCGCACAGAGATCTATCACTTGATCTCGTTTCTTCTCAGCGTGTAGGACGTCATCATCGCCGTCGAAGATATCGTCGACATAGGTGTTATCTAGCAAACAGTCCGCTCCAAGTGGAAATTGAGCTCCTTCATCGATCGAAAGTTGTTGCAAGGTGCGGATGGCGAGATGTGGCGCGCACGCCGTGCCATATGTGACGGTGCAGAGCCGATATTCTTCGATGGGTTTCTCCGGAGTTGATCGCCAAAGAATTCGTTGTAGATCGCGGTCTTCCGGATGAACGAGGATCTGGCGGAACATTTTTACTATGTCCGCGGTGAAAACGACTCTGTGTCTGCGCCAGTTTAATAGTATGAGGCCAATGTCGTTCTGTAGAGCAGGTCCAGCATGCAGGAAGTCATTAAGGCATTTTTTCTGAGAGGTTAACCTTGATGCGTTAAACACCACTCGTAATTTCCAATCCAAGTTATTTGATTGTTGGACTACTGCGTGGTGTGGTATGTACCAAGCCTTTGAGTTGTTCAATTCCTCCTCTGGCACTCTCTTCATGTGACCGTCTGATTCGTATTTATCCATGAACTCGCAGTAGGCTTCGGATAACTTGATATCTTGCTTAAATCGACGCTCTGTTCCAATTAGGCTGCTTGCAGCTAGTCTTCTGGTTTCAGCTGCAGCCTCTGGAGGTTGACACTTGATGGGGAGACGGACCATGTACTGGCCTTCAGGGGTTCGTGTGTGTGTATTAGCGAAGTGGTTTTCGCAACTTTCATCATCTGGCTTGATCACCTTGTTGTTTGGGATGGCTTCAAATTCCCAAAAGCGTTGCAGTTGGTCTTGAATATTTTCTGACGATGCGCAATGCATTGACGAAACTGTTCTTGAAGCAGTTGGTTCCGCCCACAATCTTCAAATGTTCCCACTGATTGGCAGCGTGAGTTTAATTTGTATTGTTCTGAAGAAAAGGCCTAAGTACAACTGAGTCGGTTGCGGTAGACGGTTACGGTATATGTAAGTTCCCGCAACCGTATTTAATTGTGCGTTGAAAAACGGTTGTGATAGGGACACCATGTCGACTAACCTCAAAGATTCAAATTCACGCATGGTAATGAAAAGTGTAGACCATTGTTATTTTAACAAAAAAAAGGATTACCAGAATTTAACCCCTTAAGGACGGGAAGGACAGATTTTTTATCAAAGATTCAAGATCACCGTTCTCTGTATTCACGTATGGCAAAATTTGACCAGAACCATTCCTAAAGCCTTTTTTTGTCCTCTTTCAGAATCCGCCATCAAAATTGCAGAAAAATAAAATTTGAAAAAGTTGTGGCCATTTTTTTTACAAAAAACACGAAATTTTTACAATTTTTTGCCAAAAAAATATTTTTTTCGAAGATTTCTAGTTAAATAATAAGCAGCTATCCTAGAAATATCGCGTCCGCAATATCCAAACTTTGCAAATATGAAATGTATTTAAAAAAATTTCAAGATGGCGGTTTTAAAATGGCGGTGGAACAGATTTTTTAAAATGAATTCATAATTTTATCCACGAAAACAAAAAAAATTTTTATTTTTTCTGTCAATTATTATACGAATGTTTTTGGGGTCGCTGATTACGAATCTGATGTCGGTTTTTAAAAATTCAAAATGGCCGATCCAAAATGGCGGACGAAAAAATTTTAAAAAATTTCAGATTGTCAAAAATTCATAATTCGGGGGTTTTTTGGGTCGCTGATTACGAATCTGATGTCGGTTTTTAAAAATTCAAAATGGCCGTTCCAATATGGCGGACGAAAAAATTTTAAAAAATTTCAGATCTTTAAAAATTTATAATTCGGGGGTTTTTTGGGTTGCTGATTACGAATCTGATGTCGGTTTTTAAAAATTCAAAATGGACGATCCAATATGGAGGACGAAAAAATTTAAAAAAATTTCAGATTGTCAAAAATTCATAATTCGGGGGTTTTTTGGGTCGCTGATTACGAATCTGACTTAAATTTTTAAAAATTTAAAATGGCGGATCCAATATGGCGTACAGAGGTTTTAAACATTCGTCGCAGTCTATTAAAACTCGTTACTTGGAGGTTTTTGAGATCGCTGATTATAAATCTAATGTTATTATCATACTTAGCATCTCATTTAGAATTTCTAAAATTTCTCGAATTCGTCTTGCTGGATTTTAGGGAATTTAATCATTACTTTTAAGAGCATTTAAAGTTTGCTTTCATTTGTAAAAATCCGTCACGAGGTCATTATATTGGTGTTTAGGTTCTAATAATTTGTGAGCATCTACAAAGTTTTCAAAAATTTTTTTGTAGGATAAGGTGACACTATCATCAAGGAGATAATTGAACATCTTTATTATCGTCACCATACAATATTTAAAACTCTTTAAAAAATGGAATCACAATAAAGAACGAAAAGATCACATACTAAATATCTCTGAATCAAATTACAATTTGTTTCTATTCGTATGGCATTTTCTTTAGTAATTTGAAGTTTTTTTAAATTTTTTTGTCTTCATTGTTATTCGATTTCTTTTCAACGAATGTTTAACAATGCCTCCTGAAAGAAAGCGTTCAAAAAGAACAAATGCATCCATAGTTTTAGATGAGGAATCTTGTGAAATCTTTGAAAGTGATGATCACATAGATGTGGTAATTTTACCTGATTCTATGAATTCAGATATAGAATCTGACGTGGACAGTGAGGATAATGAAGATGTTGAAGTATCTCCTGATGATGGTGTTACCTTATCCTATCGAAAAGTTTTTGAAAACTACACTGATACTCAGAAATTATTAGAACCTGAACACCAATATAATTGGACTTCTGGCGAAATTAGTAGCCATATAATTCTAGAAAATCAGTATTTTCTTACAGATAATCAAAAGAAAAATATCTGTAATAGTTCGCCAACGGAGCTTTTCGAAATTTTTTTTTCTGTTGAGATGAAGAATTATATAATCGAAGCATCATCTGAAAATGGTCTGCATCTTACTATGACGGAGATAAATTCATTTTTTGGGATTATTATTCTGACTACTTTTAATACGAGGACATGTGAGAAAGATTATTGGTCAATGTCTCCTTTACTTGAATGCCCTATTGTCAGAACGACAATGTCCCGTGATCGTTTTTTACAAATAAAAAGAAACATTAAATGCTCTAAAAGTAAAGATCAAAATCCGAATGATCCAGCATGGCGAGTTCGAGAAATATTAGAAATGTTTCGTAAAAATATTAAATTCTTTGGATTTTTTCAAACTGCATTATCAATTGATGAAATGATGATTAAATTTTACGGGCGTTTGAAATTTAAGCAATTTATTCGAAACAAACCAATTAGATTCGGGATTAAAATGTGGGGTTTGTGTGGTGCTGACGGTTTTTTATTTGAATGCGACATTTATTGCGGAAAAGATGCTAAAAATGACAATGTACTGAGTAAATGTGCTTTGGGAAGTAGGGTAGTACTGAAAATGATACGAAGTTTACTTTTGTTGACTACTCCCAAAAAATTGCTCAATTATCACATCTACTTTGATAATTTCTTTTGTAACCCAGACTTGTTAGTTCACCTGAGAAAGATTGGTTTAGTTGCAAGTGGCACAGTTAGACAAAATAGGGTTAAAGAAAGCAATACCATCAATGCGAAATCTCCAAGGGGTACTTATAGTATCAAACATGATACAAATAGTGGAATTAATTATATAACGCTAATGGATTCCAAAATTGTATCAATGCTTTCAACTGCAGCAGGAGAAAGTCCACTTAAAATTGTAAAGCGTTATTCAAAAGAGAAGAAATCAAAGGATGACATAACAATGCCAGCGGCATTTTCGCTTTACAACAGATTCATGGGAGGTGTTGATATCCATGATCAATATCGGAGCAAACTTTTACCTTCGCTAAGAAGTAAGGCTTGGACGTGGTCAGTTTTAATGGATTTAATTCAATCGTCAATTTCAAACGCCGCCATAATCTCAAATGCTTCTCAAATTGATGGAAAAAAAACAAGCGCAAAAGAATTCGCAATAAAAATTTCCGAAGATTATTTAAAACAATCTCGAGCTTTTATGAAATCACATGTGCTGGAAAAGGTAGAAAAAAAGCGAAATTGCAGTACTGAAAAATGCCCAGTAAGAACACAATTATTTTGTGCAAAATGCGAGAAGTATTACTGCAAGGTATGCTTTGAAACCAAGCATACCGCTTGAGAATTCCTTTACTTTCATTTTTGAATTATAATTTTATTAACTTATTATTAATATTAACTTATTATTTTATTAACTTTTATTAACTTTTTATTAACTTTGAAAAATAAAAAAATTATATAAATAAAAAATCAAAAAAAAATTTAAAAAAATTAAAAAAAAAAAAAAAAAAGACTCTTCATTTCACGTTTACCTCCACGCGGTAAGAGTCGGAAAACATCAAAAGAATATGATGGCCAAGGAACGTGAAAACCCCAGAAACCCCCGAATTATAAATTTTTAAAGATCTGAAATTTTTTAAAATTTTTTCGTCCGCCATATTGGAACGGCCATTTTGAATTTTTAAAAACCGACATCAGATTCGTAACCAGCGACCCAAAAAACCCCCGAATTATGAATTTTTGACAATCTGAAATTTTTTTTAATTTTTTCGTCCGCCATATTGGAACGGCCATTTTGAATTTTTAAAAACCGACATCAGATTCGTAATCAGCGACCCAAAAAACCCCCGAATTATGAATTTTTGACAATCTGAAATTTTTTAAAATTTTTTCGTCCGCCATTTTGGATCGGCCATTTTGAATTTTTAAAAACCGACATCAGATTCGTAATCAGCGACCCCAAAAACATTCGTATAATAATTGACAGAAAAAATAAAAAATTTTTTTGTTTTCGTGGATAAAATTATGAATTCATTTTAAAAAATCTGTTCCACCGCCATTTTAAAACCGCCATCTTGAAATTTTTTTAAATACATTTCATATTTGCAAATTTTGGATATTGCGGACGCGATATTTCTAGGATAGCTGCTTATTATTTAACTAGAAATCTTCGAAAAAAATATTTTTTTGGCAAAAAATTGTAAAAATTTCGTGTTTTTTGTAAAAAAAATGGCCACAACTTTTTCAAATTTTATTTTTCTGCAATTTTGATGGCGGATTCTGAAAGAGGACAAAAAAAGGCTTTAGGAATGGTTCTGGTCAAATTTTTGCCATACGTGAATACAGAGAACGGTGATCTTGAATCTTTGATAAAAAATCTGTCCTTCCCGTCCTTAAGGGGTTAAAGGAATTAGGTGTTGAAAAAGAAGAAAGAAAAGGTAAGTACATATTTTTTAATTGTTATTTTATTGCTTTTATAATAGGGAGTAAATTTTGGTTTAAAGTTGTAACGTATGTTTACTCATATTAAATGATAACTATAATAACTTAAACATTTTATTTTTGTAAATTATAAAATAGTTTTTAAATGGTTTAAATTGTTGATTTTAAATAAACTTGAAATTGAAATAAAATAATTTTATTGATACGATCTTGCAAAAATCGTCTAGAGGTGGTTGTTCGATAATTTAGAAATATATTATTATTATTATTTCCTCAATTTAGAGGAAAATTGTGGTGATGGATTGCTAATCGACTTCGTTCAAAGCTATCCTTGTCTATTCAACCCCCAAGTAAAAGAATATACAGACAAATCATTAATGGAAACGATCTGGCAAGATATTGCCAAGGCAATGACCGAAAAACGTAAGTTATCCAAAAAATTATTTTTGAGTTATAAATTTTTGAACATTTTCATAAACTTTGACAATAACAATGTTTCCACAGATGAAAAAAATAAGAAGAAAGAAGACATAGGACTGATGACTCCAGGTAGATAGGACTAGTGTGCTGTAAATGAAGAGGCTCAAAATGATAAGTTTTTGTAATAAAGATATTGTTATTAATATTAATTTACTTTGAACGTATTTCTAGGATATATTAAAGAAATTTAAAAAATATACATTGCTCACAAGTTAATCATTGAGCACTAAACTTTGAGCTAGAAGCTTCCATATTAAATCCAAATTAATCTTTCAAAATAATACTTTAATTTGTTGAAAATATTCACCTAATAGAACACGTCCATCTTCTCTTTCCTGATCAACATGAGATGTTGGGCAATATTGGCGTCAATTCGTATCTGCATTACTATTTATTGTCATCAAAAAATTGTGAAGACAAATTATGGCCATTGTAATGTTGTCAACTTTTTCAGGGTCAGCAGATATCTTATTATACAAAATTCTCCATCTTGAAGCCATAATTCCCTAAGCGTTTTCAACAATCCTTCTTGCACGTGACAAGCGATAATTGAAAACCTTTTGTTCTTCATTTAAAAAAGAACCAGGATACGGCTTCATCAGCTTGGTTGATAAGGGAAAAATGTTGTCACCAACTAAAAAAATTGGGGTTGTAATATTTGAATTTGGAATTTGAAATTGTTCGTCGGGTAAATTCAAGAAACCATTAAATAATCCTTCCGGCATTAAACTTTCTTGGAAAATTCCAGCATCGTTACAACTTCCAAATGATCCAATATCAACCAAGCTGAATTTGTACTCGTGGTCACAAATTGCCATCAAAACGGTACTGAAGGTTTTTTTGTAATTAAAAAATAAGCTACCAGAGTTTGCTGGCGCTTTTATGGTAATGTGCTTTCCGTCTATAGCTCCTGCACAGTTAGGTAAGTTCCAAATATCTCTAAATCCTTCGGATATTCTAATCCAGTCCTCACGAGTAGGACTCTTCAAATACTCGTGAACCAATACTTTGATTAGTGCTATGCACGTTTCTTGAATAACTTTACGTAGCGTCGATTCTCCTACCCGATACGCTGTGGCAATTGAGAATAGATCATTTCCGGTTGCCAAATACCTGAAAAAAAATATTTTATAAAAAAATATTTATTTCAATGAATAAAATAACCTTAAGGGGTTGTCAAAGTCGATGCAATTTTCCCATTGAAGCTCAATGTAAAAATCGCACCGACTTTTGGACCACCTTAAGGCGAAAATTCAGCCGTTTTAGTAAACTAAATATTTTTAAATATAAGTCCTTTTTGTATTCCATGTAGTCATAATAATTACATTTTTATGACCAAATCGTTAGTTACTATTCACTAATTTTTGAATTACATTATTCAAAACTTGAATAATTTTGTGTAAAATAAATATATTTAAATAAGCGTTATTTATTATTCTATAGAAATTACAGGGTTACTACAGTAGTCTGTTTTTAAATTTCCATGACTTTTTCAGGTTTCCCAGTACCAATTTTTAAAAATTTCCAGGTCCACTTTTTAACATTATTAATTAGTATTTTGCTAACTTTTATACAAAAAAATGGCCAACAATCTTTACTTAATTAATATATTAATATTCTATAAATAAATAACAGAGCTCACAGTGACATTTTCATTTAAAAATAGGGGAAAAGGGTGATATTTTTTAAAAAAGTGGTTTTGAGGCTGGAAAAAGTAATAAAAAATAGTTATTATCAAAAGTCTAATTTTTTCAAGACATTTCTAAATTAAATTACATTCAAAACTCAAATAATTTTGTGTTCAAATTTTCATTTTAATATTTATCTTTTCACATTAATTAAAATATTTTTTAAATGATTTCAATGTAAAACATTTTTGATATTTTATTATTTCTAAAGATTACAACTGAAGTTCTCCCAAAATCCATTCACTTCTATGTTAAAATTTTTAAATAAAATAATTTAAAACATAATCAATTTTTTGGAAAATAGTAAATGAATAATTTTCCAAAATAAAAATTTATATTTTATTATAGTGTTGCAACAAATAAAATTTTCACTTATATTTGAATATAAAAATAAATAATTGACTGAATATTTCTTAAAGTTGAATTCTTATAAACAATTTCATCAAAAATCTCTACAAAAATTCAATTCTTTTAAGAATTTTAATAAAAATTTTAACAATAATAGCATTTCTCGAGGAATTTATTTAAAATTGTATTAAACAAAAATTGAAATCCTTTAATGAATGAATTTTATTAAAATTTTTAAAAATAATTTTAAAAATAATTTAATTGAGTGTCATACTGAGTCGATGTCCTGGAGTTAACGGCTTTCTTCGACTTCTTTTGAGAAGATACGGCGTCACTTTCGCTAATAAATGTTGGTATATCTCTTTGTTCATCCTCGTGTATTTGAAAAAGTATTCTTCGTCATCTTGCATTTCTTGGAACAGTGTTTCATATTCCCCAAGAACATCTCTTCTTCGATTTATGGGTCGGTCACCCCATCTTCTTGATTTTTTTCTGCTTTTACTAATTTTAAATAGCAAGCCATTTGGATGATGACAAGAATTGCAAGAATTATATCAAAATTTAAACTAGTGTCTGACATTTTGATATGTATATATTTGATTATATATCCTTTAAATTCTGGTAATTCTTTTTTTTTGTTAAAATAACAATGGTCTACACTTTTCATTACCATGCGTGAATTTGAATCTTTGAGGTTAGTCGACAAGGTGTCCCTATCGCAACCGTTTTTCAACGCACAATTAAATACGGTTGCGGGAACTTACATATACCGTAACCGTCTACCGCAACCGACTCAGTTGTGCTTAGGCCTAAAGGGCTGACAGTTCTACAGATATTTTAGAATGGTGGAAAAATAACCAAAAACTCTATCCGACTCTTTCTGCAATGGCCCGAGATCATTTAGCAATATCAGCAACATCCGTGCCATCTGAACGCTTGTTTTCTCGGAGTTCATTAACAATTACGAAACGGAGAAACCGATTATGTGATCAATCAATAAAATATCTGATGTGTCTTAATTCTTGGGCAAAGTGTGCTGTATCTGATATGATTGAAATCAAATAGTTAAAAATAATGTTAATTTATTAATTGTTGTTACTATGAAATTATTAATACACTACCGTCCGAAATTGTGCGAACTCTGCTTTTTCAACAACTATAAAACTGTTCAAATCTTCAAAAATATTAAAACTAAAATTTTTTCCTCTTTATTTTATTAAAGTTAATAAAATTCTGAAAGAAATGACACCTTGACAAAGAGAATATGTTAATTTTTCAATTAGATATCTAAGAAAAACCCGATTTTCAATGTTTTTACTATTTTTTTTATTTCTCTGTCAAAAATTAATATTTTTAAACGTTCTTAGGCTCATTGAAATCGTATTTTGTTATGCAATTCAAATTATATAAAACAATTCATGTACACATTCTTCTCTAGCGTATGCAAACCGTGAAAGTTGGCTCATAAAATGTCAAAAAATTGTGATTAATATTTATATGACAAAAAATTATCAGTAAAATGTATAAATCTTAAATTTACTTACATAAATCAGAGAATTTTAGAATGATATATTTACTTGATTTTTAAACATCATATTTTATTGTAGAATTAAATTTCAATTTTTTGACATTTTATGAGCCAACTTTCACGGTTTGCATACGCTAGGGAAGAATGTGTACATGAATTGTTTTATATAATTTGAATTGCATAACAAAATACGATTTCAATGAGCCTAAGAACGTTTAAAAATATTAATTTTTGCCAGAGAAATAAAAAAAATAGTAAAAACATTGAAAATTGGGTTTTTCTTAGATATCTAATTGAAAAATTAACATATTCTCTTTGTCAAGGTGTCATTTCTTTCAGAATTTTATTAGCTTTAATAAAATAAAGAGGAAAAAATTTTAGTTTTAATATTTTTGAAGATTTGAACAGTTTTATAGTTGTTGAAAAAGCAGAGTTCGCACAATTCCGGACGGTAGTGTATATAGTTAAAAATTCAATTGTCACTTTGTACACGTTCGAAGTGATAAATAAATATTTCTTTTATAAAAAAGTATCTTTAATTGACGTAAAAACACAAAAACAATATTTTGTAAAATTAAAGTAATCGTAATTTTAAGTTTTAATTAAAAAATAATAAGAATATCCATTCAAAAGAGTTTATTAAAATATATTTTTATCAATCATTTAATTAATTAATAATATATTTTGTTTGTAAGTTTCTGTCGTAAAATAAAATAATAATATTATTAACTTTTACAATAATTAAAAAGCTTTTACAATAATAAAAAATAAAAACAATAAACTTTACTCAATAAATTTATAATTATCGAATTGTTTAATATCAACTAAAAATTCCAGTTCTTAATTTTGTAAATAGCTGAATTATTTAATTATTAAACATTTCTCGCTTGTTCTCGCTCGTCTAAAGAGAATCTCGTCTAATAAAACGAGATCGAGACGAGGCGCTTAAAAAGTAAACGAGAATCAGTCTCGTTTTTTCATATTTCTCGATCGTCTCGCTCGATATGCATCTCTAATTGTATCAAATAATTAAATTTAAAAATACAATGTCCCTTTAAATTTAGACAATATCCATTCTTTCTTTTGTATAAACTTACGTAATGTGGGTGATCACCATCTAAACATTTATGTTTACGGTCGTTCAACCACATTTTTGAGAGTTAATGAGAGTTAATAATGCTTCAACTGGTACCCCTGGTGTTTTCGTTTTCTGACTGAATTTGAATTGAATGAAATTTTTTTTTCTTTCTCTCTTTCTCTCTTTCCTTTAAGAATATATATTACACAAAATAATAGGGATAAGTATAATTAAGAGAGGGCACTGAAAATCATTCACAATTATAGAGATTTTGAATAAATAAATATAAAATTAAATTTTTTTTGTTTTTGTTTTAAATATTTAAAATGGATCCCGAACAAAATAAAAACAATGAAGCATCAAAATCTACTTCAGATAAAGAAAATAAATCGTCTTTAAAGGAAAATAATGATTAAGTAAAGAAAACAGGTACAATACCTAAAAAAGAAAGTAAAAATAGAGTATTTTTAGAGGTTTTTGATGAAGAAATCACTCAGATTTCTCTTTTTGATAGTGATAAAGAATATGATTTTAATGATGAGGAACATGAAATATTAAATAAAACTGAAAAAGATTTTGATAATTTCATGAAAGACTTGGGAAAAACGGTTAAAAAAGTAAAAAAAAGGATAAGGTAAATTAAATACTAAACAAAAGGAAAATTTAGATTTATGCATAAAAGAAAGATCTAAAATACGTAAAAAAATAGAATAAAATGAAAAAGAAATCGAACAATTAAAAGCTAAATTATATGATAGAGTAGACACCGGTATTGAAATTAACAAAAAAATATGTGAAAATTTAAAATTAAATGTAGATGAATCACTGGACAAAGTAAATAACAAAATTCATGACATGGATGGCAAAATTAATAACTTACATTTGAGTACTAAGGAAAATACAATTTTAAGTTTAGATAATGAAAATAAAATAAAAACAATTCAAGAAAATCAAGTATATTTTGAACAAAAAATAAGTAGAATAAGAAATAATGATAATTCTAATAAAAATTCATGGATAAGAGAATATACTCCTCCTAAATTTTCTGGGACTACTCAGGAAAGACCCATGATTTTTTTGAAAGAATTAGAAGATTATATTCAAGTCAATGATATTTTAAATTCAGAATTCAAATACTTTATTCAAACATGTTTAGAAGGATTTTCTAAAGAATGGTGGAATTTAGTTAAGTCGGAAGATGATAATTTTTTGAGTTTTAGAGAAAAATTAATTAATCGATTTTGGAATGAAAATATTCGTTATAAAATAAGTACAAATTTAGAATTTGGTCAATATAATCCAAGCGGGAAATTATCAAGGTCAGCTTATGCAATAAAAATAACAAATAAAGCTAAAGACTTAATTCCATCACCTTTGGAAAATGAAATAGTTATTAAAATTGCCAGACATTTTAATGAAGACATACATACAGCGGTATTAATGAGAGTAATTAATACAATTAATAATTTATTAGATTTATTACAAAAATTTGATAGGACTGGTCCAGTAAATTCTCAAAGAAATTTTCAAAATAAAAGTAATAATTTTTAAAATAATCCTAAGAATAATTTTGATAATTATAGTCGACAACAATATGATAGTAAAAATCAAAGTAGAACAAATAATTTTAATCGCAACCCTAATTATAATAATACAAATCAAAATTTTAATCGAGGTAATAATTATCAAAACAAAACAAGTGAAAATATTAGACAACAAAATTTTCAAAACAATTCAAATTTTAAATTTAATCCAAATTTTCAAAATAAAAATTACCGAGATCAAAATTATGATAGAAACAAATATTCGGGTAACAAGTTTAACAATTATAATAATAGACAAAATAATTATCAAAATTATTCAAATCAGCGTCAAAATTATAACAATGGTTATGTAGAAAATGCAAAATACACACCTTATAATGTTAATCAAAAATAAAAATTTTCACAAAATGTAAATAACCAAAATAATGAAGGTTGTCAACAAACAAGCGTAAATATAACAAAAAAATGTAAAAATCCCAAAAGTGAAATAAATGATTGTGGAGAACCTTCATCGACTTCGGAAAACTTATAAACCTCGGGTTTGTAAACACGAGTACGAGGTATACAAATCCGAGGTCAATGACGCTTTTAAATATAAATAACGAAAAAAATACACAAAAACAAAATAAAAAATCAGAAGAAATTATTCCATTAGATTTGCGTAGAGAATTATTAATAAATATAAATTATCGTTTATTAAATCAATTAGGTAGATGTCCTATTGTAGAAATAATTATGTTTAATAAAAAAGTAAAAACACTAATAGATACCGGAAGTCAAGTAACATGTATTTCGGAAGATTTCTATGAGAATAATATAAAAGAAATGGAAGAATGTCTTTCATTACCGGTAGTAGGAATGAGTATTGTAGGTGCAACTGGAGAACGCCCTGTAAAATTAAAACTTCAGCTATTGATACAATTCGAAATGTGTGGTTATAATGCACAATATACATTTATAGTAGTTCCTAAATTAAATTGTGATTGCTTAGTGGGTGCAGATTTCTTAAAAACATTTCAAACAAAAGTAGATTTTGAAAAAGATATTGTTATTGTTATTAGAGAAGAAGAAGCATTAACTATGGAAATGATTAAAGAAAATATAAATCAAATAAAGATTATTCGTGAAAATGAAAATATTGAAATTAAAGAAATTGAAAATGAATTAGAAAAAGAAATTTTAAAAGAAATTAAAGATAATGAAATTAATAAAAATCAAAATAATAATAATGATATTAGTAAAATTATTGTCAATCAATTAACGGGAATGGAAATGTTAGAAGATGCCCCAAACGTAATTAAAGATTTAGAAATAAACAATGATTATGATGACACACAGTTCGAATTTGAAATAACTGAAGATGAAATTAAAAATAAAATTGCGGAATGTACTGTTTTAAACAAAAATGATAAAGAAAGATTTTACAAACTCATTTCACGGTATAAAAATGTTTTTTCTAAAAAACCGGGTAGAATTTCAATATATGAACATGAAATAAAAGTAGATGATAGTAAACCATTTTTTAAAAAATCTTATCCTATTCCGATGAAATTGCGTGATAAAGTTAATAATGAAATAAAAAAATTAATCAAATTAAAAATTCTAAAAAAAATGAATACGCAATACATCAGTCCAATATGTATATCATTAAAAAAAGATGGTACTATTAGATTTTGTTTCGATGCGCGAAAATTAAATTTAATTGTAGTCGATGAATATGAACGTGCGGAAACAACCGAAGTTTTATTTCAAAGATGTACGGGTGTAAAAGTGATGTCTTCTTTAGATTTGGTCAGTAGTTTTTGGCAAATTCCTTTATCGGAAGAATCTAAAAAATATACGGGCTTTATAATAGAAGGTAAATGCTATGTATTTAATGTGGTACCTTTCGGCTTAAAAACAAGTACTACTGCGTTGGTACGAGCGTTAGATCAGGTACTATGTGGTATAGGCGATTTTGTAATCACTTTTATCGACGACATGCTGTGCACATCACAAAATATTGACGAACATCTCTATCACTTAGAAAAATTTTTTCATCGTTTAGAAAAACATAATATGACAATCAACTTTGAAAAATCTCATTTTTTTCGTCCGGAATTGAAATTTTTAGGACATATCTTGACACCACTCGGAATTAAACCGGATCCTGATAAAATAAAGGCAATACATAATTTTTCGCGACCTAGAAATTTAAAATAATTAAGAGGTTTTTTAGGACTTATTAACTTTTATACAAAATTTTCTAAAAATCATGCCCAAGAAATAGTCCCTTTACTTGAATTGAATTATTAAAAAATAAAAATAAATGGGAATGGAATTCAAAAAAAGATATAGCATTTAAACGGGTTAACGTATTTCACGACAGAGAAACCATCTTCACTGTTGCGAAATAAATTAAAAAATATTTCACAAGAACAAAACCTAGATTCAATTTCTAAATAAAGAATCGCAGAAGTTAAAAGCGGTAAAACAAAGCGTTATTTAATAGAAAAAAATATATTATATTTTAATAGCGGGGATAATAAAAAAAATTATGTATAACAAAAAGTATTATAAACAATTTAATCGATGAAACTCATGAAATGTATGGATATGTAGGACCACAAAGAGTTTTTCGCATGTTAAATGAATATTTTTATTATCCGCATTTTTCCAAGGTTATTAGGCATAGGATTGCTAGCTGTGACTCATGTCAGAAAAACAAAATTTCTAATCAAACTAATTACGCTGAAATGAGAAATTATGCACCGAAAAAACCGGGAGAAATTTTATCAATCGATTTTTACGGTCCTTTACCAGCAACAAAAGGCGGATTTAAATACATTTTGTCAACAATCGATGCGTTTAGTAAATACGTTAAATTATACCCTATAAGAAAAATAACAACAATAGCGCTAATAAATAAAATTTTCAAACATCATATAAAGGAATATGGAAAACCAGAAAAAATTATTTCGAACCATGGAACACAATTCACTTCAGAAGTATGGACGAATAAACTCAAAGAAGAGGGGATACAACCTGTCTTTTCGTCAATACGTCATTCTCAAGGAAATATTGTCGAGAGAATTCATAGGGAGTTATCAAGATTTTTTAGAACTCTTACCAATGGTAGACATAATTCCTGGTGGAATTGGATATCAATTATTGAAGATTGTATCAACGAAACGCACCATGAAACTACCGAGTTTACACCTATAGAACTTCAGCTCAACAAAAAGCCAAAAAGAATGTGGGAAAAATGGTTTGATTTTCCAGCTATTCCAAATAATATGGATTATGAAAGAAAATTAGAACTCGCGTATAATAACATCTGCAAAAAAGGTAAAAGAAGATCAGAAAAATTCAACATCACACATAAATTAACAGAATTTAAAGTAGGTGATAAAGTCCTAATTAAATTACTAAATAGGTCTCATAAGGAAAATAAAATAATAGCTAAATTCTTACAAGTCTATGAAGGACCATATGAAATAAAAAAAGTTATAAAAA